ATAGTCAACACTTCATGATCTCAAGCAACGTCTCACCTACGACTGGTTACACATTGATTAACAACTTGCGATCGACAGTGAAGAATAAATGGTTAAAAGTTCTCTTTTTATTGAATCTGTGTAAACTAGAACTAAACAAAGGCATTTCAACAAGGTTTTGTGTCAGACTTTGTGTTATTCTAAATTCTTACACCAAACTTTTCAGTTTTACTGCTAATGTGTGATGGTTCCAAATATCAGATACTGGTCTCCTTTATTACTAATGTTTGGTATCAGAATCGGCCCAAGGAAGCCATATCAGTTCACATAATATCAACAAACGTCGACATCATTTTAAAACACTAGAAACTCAAATATTACTTTGTTTTATTTCATGTGCTAATTGAGTTTGGGGTTGATGCCAGGTTTCAGTTGTGCGTCCTTCATGTGACTTATGTGAAAATACGATCATGCAAAACCTTGAGACCCCCCCTCCAGTAAAAATCAAGTGTTTTAACTTGTTTATATGCTCATATGGTGTTTTTTTTCTTTTTTTTAAATGCTAGATGACACATCTTGAGTGAAATAAATGTTCAACGACATGGCTAAGCTGTGAAACTGTAGAATACTGAAGACAGTCTCAGTCTCTGGACAAGGGCAAGTTGGCCCTTGTGCTGTGTTGAGCAGTTTAGCAGTGTTTGAGCAAAGGCATAGGTGAGCTGGTGTGCTTGAACTGCTCGGAGTGTTGAGAAGGGAGTGGAGTGAAAGAGACAGGGACTACAAAGAACATCAAATTCTAAAGTAAAACAACAGTGTGGAGTTACATTCAAGCCATTTTAAGACAGGAAAAGATTATTTCCATGAAAAAAAAAACTCCAAATATAGAGCTGTGATGTTTTGATGATGTTAATTAATGACTGGTAACGGACTTTAATCTTGTCATCACTTCACCTCACCTGAACCTGCACATACGTACGTGTTTAATAGTGCTGAACTGCCTTTTACAGCCTCAAGTAACATTTAGCAGAGTCCAACAGAAAATACACCCAAGAAATCTGGCATTTTGACAACACGGATTTGGCAGCTGTGGGCGGCATATTCACTTTCACTTTGGACTGTCTTGCGTGTCAGTTCCACCATTTCTGAATCCATAAATAAGAGCAGAGCTGCAGAATCTGGAGACTGGCTACGAGGAGAGAATAAGTACAGTGTTTGAAAGAGACAAAAACTATCATTTAAAGCTAATAAGTACATTTTAAATGATGTTTATCACCAAACATGGCTCGAGGATGTGTGCAAAACATTAATGGAGCACAAAAAAATGCAACAAAAAAACAGCAGTCGTTGCAATTGGGTGGATTTTTTTTTTTTGCAAGCAAACGGTTACAAAAAAGTAATTTGTCATAATGTTATTGTAGCAAGACACCAAAATAAATGACGGAATTACTAAATAGTAGCAATGCAAAAACCATACAGATGCAGAGAGGACACAAATGTATGTGTTACAAAACATTTATTCAAGTCAGATGTTATACATTTATTAAAATATCATATCAAGAACATAACCTGCCACAAGTAAACATTTCTGACACTGTCATTTATCCATACCTGAGTAATGACACAGTTAGCTACTGAAGTGACAGGCCATTCTTTCTACATTTCAGTCTGAATCAAATGAGAGGAAATAACAAGTCTAACAAAAATATCTCAATTTCCATTGTCAGTTAATAGCATATTATGTACAACAACAAGTTTGCAGTAATAAAGGCATTAAAAATTTAATTTTATAGCTGAAAGTCTAAACTGGCACAAAATAAAAGGCAACCAGAATAAAAATAGAGTTATATTTATTAAAAACAGTCCTTATGAAAAGTTGCTTAATAAAACACATTTTTTTGGAAGACATTAGCTGTTTTGTTTTGATTTTTTTTAAGCAAAAAAAAAGTGCTTCCGTATCATTACAAGTGCTCGCACGACCCCCATTTACTGTAAAACTTATTGCATTATTGATTCTTTTTCTAGAAAGGATTCAAGCTCAGGACACACAAAGGCTCACCGATCTCCCAGGATGCTCTCTGACACTGTGTGTTATTTTACAGCATGTAAACAGGCGAGTTGTTCATAGGATCTGTGGGGGTTTTTTTCGGCACAAGAAATCCACCACCATCTGTTCTTATCATAAAAGGAAAATAAGGTGAGTGACCTCAAAAAAAAAAAGAAAAAGAACTAAACAAGACAACAAATTTAACTTCGTGCTTTGATGGTCCCTTTCAGCTCTTCACCTGATAACGTCTGGGAGGAATATGAACTCTCAGAGGAATATGAGGCGTTAAGATAAGTGACTCAGAGAGTGCGTTCATATATATGGAAATCTGTCCCTGTCTGTCTCACACTTCTTCAGCAGGCCTGATGCGATGGCCTTCACGGCTCTCATTGTCTCCGTGCAGGTCGGGTTGATGAGCGATTCGGGCAGGAGGAAGCCGAAGTATCCAGTGTCCCTCAACTCAAACGCAAACGCGTACGGGATCCCGTTCCTGTAGGCCCAGTCGATAGAGCTGCCAGAGCTCACATCTGTGAGAGAACAACCAGGATGAGAAAAGCTTAGAACAGTAGAACAAATTTTGATTTTAGGCAAGATGTTTCATCCTTAGTGCTGCTCCATCTCTGCATTTAGATGTTTCTCCCTTCCAGAGCAACATCCAGTGCAGTGAGGGCAAAACTAAACAGATTTTTTAAAACCTCTCTCCACTTAATACATTACAAAGAGCTACAGACTAAATGCACTTTATGTCATTAGAAAACTGTAATTTCTCTCCACTTTACAGCTTGAATAAGAACTCATTTCCTCGCCAACATGCGCTAAACAAAACACTGCAGCTATGACATCAATTCTGCTTCATTTTGCAAACTTGGAAGATACAATAAAAAGAAAATTGCACGCACACAGAGTGGTGGAGGCAGGTCCATATCTGTACCTCACTCCATAGGCAGAATACAAGGCTGTCACTGCATTGTGAGCTGCTGACTCCTGCAGAGTGAAAGCACAAGGCCGGCTCATCTTTAACAGACTGCATATTTCTTTGCAGTGGGATTTAATATCCTGAAATAAACATGCGATGATGGAACAGTCAAAGAATCAGATGGAGCAGGGGATGTCTCACCACACAGCTGAAGTTGGGGATTGTGGCATACTTGTAGGAATATGGGTAAAGCAGCATTTGTGCGTAGGCGTGGATGGATATGTACGCTTTAATGCGCTTCTTGTGCTTGCGCAGGAACTTGGCGACGGCCTTCACTTCGGGTTCAGACTCGGGGTAGGGCCCACAATATGTGTCATCGCAGGGATGCGAGGAGGCACCCTCGTCTGGGGAAGGAAAGACTGTTATCGTCTAATCATGACAGAATGCATTACGTTACAGACTTGGATGAATAAATCATGTTTTTCGGCTCATCTTTCTATCAGACCTTCAAAAAGAAATATTAAGGAGATAAGGCACTATGATATGGAATCTATATATCCTGGACCTAATCTAGCAACAGTGACCAAGCAGGAAGGATGAAGAGGTGAGAAGCAATATTGTGGGAGGACACTAATACAGAAACAGACTGAAGTCACCACGGTCACATTGTAACGGCAAGGACAACGGAAACCAAAGAGAAAAAAGTTACAAAATGACTTGCAGACAAACTGAATTCACTGCCATGACCTAAAGGGTGAAAAAGATCGATCAGTTCTGATGTTCGACTTAATTACATTTTTTAAATGCATAGAAAAAAGGTTTTGTGTCAAACGACTTGTATTGCTTCTCATATATTGTGTGGAATCTCAAATGTAGTCAAATAAAATACTTCACTATCCAAATAATTAGACTTGAATTGAGGTGGTTCAGTTTTTTAAACAAAAAATAATGCACAAATGGTACCCAGCTCATTCATGTGCATTCACATATGAAAATCCTCTAGAAATTAAAGCTTTACATGATGGCAAAAATCTGTTAGTCAGTATAATGAATCAATAAGCATGGGTTTCATATTTTTATCTTTGGTTTTGTTCAGTCCTGTTTTGTGTATTTCTGCAGTAATTATTTTGTCAGAGTAGGTCTCAGGCAAGTACCTGTGGTAAATGAGAGCATTTCTATGACTTTTGTCACTTGTACAAATTTTCAAGGCTGCACAAACATCACCTTTGAAAGTGTAATTACTTTTTTTTTTTCCTTATTATTTTGCTCATCAAAATAACAATGCTGTGTTTCGTAACCACTACTGTAAAGTGCTGTGGATACTGCCAAGGATCTTGTGGCGTGCGTTCTCGCCAACAGCAGTTTTGCTTTCAGAAAAAGTAGATTAGATATATTAGATAAAGAATCGTGAGTTAATGCTGCTTGAAGGAGACGGCACATATCCTTCAGTCGTTCTGTGTTTCTAATCTCACTTTACATCTCTGTATGTCTGTTTGTAATACTAAAATCTTTGTTGTATTCTTAGAGTCCTCCCAGAGTGATGATGATTCAACAGAACCTCCCACCAACCACCCACTAGATACCAAATGACAGCCAACACATTGTTGTCATTACACACATGTACCATCCACGGCTTACAATCGCTAACAGCCAGAAAAAAAAACTACACCAGCAAGAGATTGGGAAGGTAGGAAGTTCTTTGTACGCTGCACTGTGTGTGTCTCTCTCCATGTACTGCATATGAAATGCACTTGATTTTCCAGTGTCATCAAACTCACCACACCATTTCACTTTCCAGTTTCTGTTCGCGTCCACTCCTCTGCAGTGGAACTTGTGATTTTTGGACCGTGTCTTCCTCCAGAACCGATCCTGGAGGACAAATAGAGGCACACTGTCACTGTGTCACTGTGTGCTGACATATCCACTGCCTGTCAAAGCCATCGAGTTAACTGCCATCAGCAAAATAACCCGTCTGCCACTCATTCGGCCCTACTGGGTCTATTACTGACATTAGTTATGGAGACGAGAGTTGAGGGTCATTTTTCGCTTGCACTGTTTTCCCAGAAGTATACATGGACAGAGTGAGCCGCACGATGGCAAATCACATTGCTGTCTTCCTGTTATGAAGTTTTTAACAATGCAACATGTTTTTAATGTACTGCTTTAAGAATGATTTATTCTTGCACTCTGCCAGGTATCAAAATACAGCTGAAAAATTAGCTTTCTTTTCAAGGAAACTTCACTTACAAAAAAAATTCATATCCATGCTGTTAAGATTAAAGCCATCAAAATGCAGTCTGCATTGTATGAGGAGAAAGACAGACTAAACAAAAACCTACAGTACCGTGGTCCAGCTGAAACGGTATCCATCCACATTGAAGACGGGCATGATGTAGAAGTTGAGCTGGTTGAGTAGTCGTGTCATCACAGAGTCATACTGGTACGAGCTGATGGCCTGTGATTATAATACAACACAATATAAATAAAAAGTGAACTGTATTCTAACTTAGTTCATAAATCTAGATTGTTGTTTGACAATACAGCTACATATCATTGCTGTGTTTTTATTGTAATGCCACCGTCTGCAGGCTCTTTATCTCAGTTCTTCGAAAGCTCATCCACAGGAGGTTAATACTCGGACTACAAATGAGGATTGGAGTTGAGAGATGTGGGTACTGGGCTAATACTGCTTATACCTGCTCTTTAACCAGACCGAGGCCAAGGTTAATGTGCTTAAGCCTTGAACAAAGATGGCACTCTGACCTCCAGTGGCCTCCCTCTGTTACTACATCAAAGCAAATTTATATTTCAGTGTTTGAACATCTTTTACTGCCGGCAGGAGTGCAATAATTCAGTCCCTTTTTAAAAAAAAAAACTTCAGTCTGCTTTTGATTTGCTGCTGCTGTTTGTTTGTGTTTTACTCCCTTTTCCACTCACTTCCTATTTTATCCTTCTTAAAAGAATTCCGTACTCGCCTTTCATGTAATATCCTAAAGTGATTCTGTCATTAATTGTAACTATTCTCCCTGCAAGTTATGACTAAACCATCAAACTAGAGGCCAGAGGCAGAGTTATCTTCAAACAGAATGACTATAGAGCACAACAAATCATTGTTTTATAAATGGCATGGTCCAGAAAACCTTGGAAAGCTTTTGAAAATGTACATGTGCTACTTTTTAGTGACACATGTTGAAGCAGTTTTCTCCTCCTCGACACTAGTTCACTTGGTTACTAGAATCTGATGCATTTCTCAGTGTTTGCTGTGCATGTTGAACTGCAGGTGACAAAAGCGCATATCATGTGGGAAGAATTTCTCCAAATTTATAGACTTTCCTTTAATTTTCTTAACGTTGTGGGATTCATTTCGTTGCACTGTGTTGCAAATCCCTTTCATCTGGTGTCTGAGTAGTATAAAACCAATGAGCCATTAAATGTTCTTGCAGTTAATGTCTGGCTCTGGTCTGGTACCGTCCTCACTTCAGAGGACTTTAAGGGGTGTGATGGAACTCGCGTAAATGTCTGGGCTACTTCCAGCATCCTAACTATAAAGGATACTCTTAAGTATTTGCATAACTGTGCATGACAAGTGAGCAGATGTTGGTGTTTTGTTGAAGACCCCATTTATCACAGCTTGCTTTCTGCAGACTATCAGTCAGGCTAGATCTTCCTTTTCACACATGCATTCGTGCAAAAAAAGCAAAAAGTTCAAACAGTGTTTTAATATTTAAACCTGTGCATTATCAAATAAGGTTACCTCTTTGACAAACCACTGGCAGAAGGCAGGTCCAATCCACTCTCGGGCATGAACGCCACAGTCGATCCACACGGCTTTCTTCTGGGGACGACTTCTCTTTCCTAGCTGACAGAACACACTTCTTTTAGATTTAGAGTTGCATAAGAAAATGTGGTTAACGCACCTGTGTGTTTTCTTTTCTCCTACCTGAAGCACATAAAGTGGTCGTCCTTCATATGACTTCCCAACAGAGAACATGTCAACCAGGTCAGGGTGGGTTTGGTTCATCTCAAACATCCAGCTCTGGATCTTAGGACCAGAAAATCAATTAAAAGGATTTGTTAACAAATTTTTCATAAATAATACTGCAAGTTCATTGCGTATTTATGCGCCCGTGTGCACATCTTTGTGGGTTTTCTTGCTTCACATGTCCGCGCGGCCACACAGAAACGCCTGCATTTGTTAATGTGCATTGTAAAGTGAAGGCAAGGATCAAAGCTCAGTGAAGATTTGTGTAGACTCTCCGAATGTGTGTGTGGAATTCATGCTGCTTCATAGGGCCTGACACATCGGTGAACCGGCAGCCTGATCGACCTGGGAAAATAAACACTCTAAAGCTGTGAAGTGTCTGAAGTAGAGTGCGTGTCTCTGTGTGTGAGAGCGCGAGGCTGTGGGAGAGAGACCTGTGGAATGGCGTAATTGGGAGTTTGAGATGTTTGTTTACTTTGTGGGCGCATTAGATTAGAGAGCAGAGGAGAATGAGCGATAGGTAGGGGGACGGTGGGCTTCACGTCTACCTCTTCCAGAGAGTGGTAGACCTCGTAGTCGTACTGAGACTCTGACCTCCGCTTGCGGGAGGAGCGATACCCCGTCTGCTTTTCAATTTCCTTCTGCAGATTGGAGATAAAAACCCTGTGTGAAAGAGAGAGGGGGGGCAGACGGACATGACGGTCAACCACGATGGTATCCTTGCCATTCAAACATGTTAGCACAGCTTCCGAGTAACCAAAGGGATATGCAACCATTCATCTCAGCTTAGAGATGAAATGACTAGCTTTCAACACCATTTCCAATTGACGAATAATTAGGTGTCATTAAGTGACTCAAATATGGAGCTCAAGTGCCTAAAAGGATGTACTACAACGAGGCAACATAAGCTGTTCTTTTAAATAACATTTTTCTCCTCCTTAAAGCACAGATGATTTAATAGCCATTAATAAAGCCTTCCGTTACAATTTAAAGACAATGCAAACTGTGTTAAATCCCTCTGTCCTAAAAGTCAATGAATGTTTTTCACAATAGCTTTCAGGGCGTGCGAGCAAAGCAGCCTTGTCGACTCAATCTTACCTGACGTGTTTGCATTCCTGTATACTTTTCCCACAACTGATGTGAAGCACTGAATTTATAGATAATTTGGTAAATAATTAGTAGACAGTAGGTCCCTATCGACTGCAGGGTTGCTGCATTGTAAGTGAGTGCATCATAGTGTTGGGGGAGTGGTATGAAGTGGTAGATCAGGGGTCTTGGGTTTATTGTTGACTTAACACAAATCATAAAACTGCTGTTGTCTTCTAACATCCACACCAATCAGCACTTGACGTGTTTGACAGCACCAATGGTAGCAGTTGTGCTACTGCTGTCTGTCTATGAGTGTATAAAGTGTGTTGAGAATGAGGCCAAACCATAATTATCACCATCATTATCTGTTGGAAGACTCATCTGATCCGATTCTATCCGTCTTTACTTTCCATCCCAACCTCAAACAGATGACGTGATCAGCTATGCGCTGCACTAAAATATACACTCCTTCATAATGTCCTTCTCCAAACATTTATATCCATGATTGGTTCGATAACGCTAAAAAGACAGATTATGTCCCTGTGAATAAAATAGGATTTTTGATGCCACATTCCCTGAAAACCTCAAACACCTACCAAATACTGCTCCCTGCAGTGGAAACCATTTTTTGAAAAACCTTCACTCAGGCAACACAAAGTCAGAAAAAAGCCCTCTTCTTCTTCAGAACTGCAATTTCTCCCTTAGGACTGAGATGACAATGGAGCTCTTTTTTAGCTGGGCGTGCGGTGGCTTTGATAAAACTCCATCATTTCAACGCTAATTGTGATGAGGGATAGTGCAGAGAGATGAAAGAGGCACTTTTTGGAGCAGATTGGGAGAGGGGCTCTAATGCACTGTGTGTGTGTTTGCATGTTGTCCCAGCTTTGAGGGGAAAAATGAAGGCTTTTGCACGCAAACTGTGACCAACTCTGCACGTGCAAATTATATATTCTGTACGGGGAAAGCTGGGTAATTGCAATGACCTTTGGATGTTTCTCAGGGTACAGAAGCACTCGTAAGATGAGTAGAAATATGTGAGACAGTGTGCACTTGTACTGCAGTATGTTTTCATACTTACCGATAATCAATACGCTCCTGCTTTAAGCGTGCGTGTAAGCCTTGCGTGTCATTACGGTTCACGTGCACATCCACTGTGGCGTTTTGATGGATTAGAGAAGCGCTGTTGGGCTGCCACAAGTCCACCTTAAGGAACACAATGAACAGATTGCATTCAGGGTTACAGTGACACAAACACAGGATGGAGTTTTTCAAACAAAACATCCAAAAAATACATGACATTTCAGAACACTTCATCAAATTTATGCAAAAAATCATATGCAAATCCAACAAAACAAACATAACCACAAGAACCTCTGACTGCTGACAAATTGCTATTGTCTGGTATAATGTGTGCTGTTAAATCACCCAACTGTGAAGAGACAGTTTTAACTGGTGTGACTTTATTAATAAGAAACTTGATTCTTTTTGGTTTGTGGCTGCGTAATGCTGTCTAGACACATGGACCAACACATGACATAAACACTATAAACCACACAACAAGGGAAGAAGTAGAATCATTTGAATGCGTTGGCCTGCAGTGACCGAATACATGTAACAGATAGTCCAAACACTGACCTTTATGATGGAACAGAGTAAATGTCAAGGAACTGACTCCAAGAAAGGCCTTATTATCATATCTGCAGGGTGTTTGAAATAACATCAAGCATTTGGTGATAATGATGAAACTGTTTTGGTAGAACAGTTTATAACATTCCCCCACGTCTCCTAACCTGAGTGATGAAGTGAATGTGGGGAACGACTGCACAGCATTAATGGGGCAAAACACACACTGACAGTAGCCATTAACAACCCTCTCTCTCCCGCAGCTTTCTTCTCCACTGTATGACCTCATATTAGCAATAATTATCCCGTCTTTCACTGCTTGTTATCAGGCTGTGAGATATGGGGCTGTTAGCTTTAGCTGAAACCGTCAGCCGATTGGTGAAAACACGGTTGCCAACCAAATAAACACAGACACCATGTGGCAACGCTGATGAAGCAACAGAGGGCTGCTGAAGAAAGAAAATGAAGAGATTATTTTTATGCAAACAGGAGGACATAGATCTACAAATGATATCCACAGCAGTCAGTGTAAAGGGAATATTGGGAATCTGTATGTTTGCAGACATGTATGACCGTCCTCACCTGGCTTTCATTTGCTGCATGGGGGCAGAGAAATGCAGGCCGGCACACATGCTTGTTAATGTGTCAATTGGTTTAATAGTTTACAGAATGCATACCAGATTAATTTAACTTTGTTTAGAGCCAGAAGGTTCGAAAACCCTCAGCTGGAATGTTTGGTGCCCTCAAGTATAAACCCCTCTCTGCTGCAGCACTTTTATGGCGTTTCCAAATGGTTAAGGACCACAAATGTTTCAGCGCTGCTCCTCTGTTAGCAAAACAAATCCAAAACACATATGCCTGAAAGCCACTTAAATATCCCCTGATCAGATCATAAGACTCCTCAAGTTAACATTTTATAGCTGTATTTATGAGCCCTAAAGTTGCATTCTTTGTCTGCTTTATAAATCTTTTATTTCTCGATTGTTTATGCGTCTGTGTATGCAGCGCGGCTATAAATCGAATTTGTGTTGTTTTAGTTGATGTAGTTCTGACACGGGCAGAACAAGAAAGAAAAAGTTATAGTACAATAAAAAAAAAAAGAGCTGGCTTTCCTCCGGGCAGATGAGGTGAAGCTGCGTCTCAGTGTTTGTATGTCAAGTAAATGAAAACAAGTTGGCCAAACTGAATAGAAATGTCAAACCATTCCAAACAGTGCTGTCACCGCAGACTTAGGCAGGTTATTGAGCATCTTTATTGCCTCGTATCTGTTTTTTTGTCAAACCTGAATCACATCAACTGATCTGAAAAGGCCGTCTGTCCAGTAAGAAAACAGAATAAACTGATCAAAAAGAAAATCATCACAGTGTGGGTAAGGTAAAAAAATGAATTTTATTCAAAGTCTCGTCTCTTAATTAACACAGAGCTGATCTGTCTGTTCTTCTGTTGACAGGATCAGACAGCAATGACAACATCCTCTACAGACAAAATGTCGAAAATGCTCTATTGACAGAAAATAATTTAGCTTTTAGTATTTTTGTTTCACAACTAACTACGGTGACATCTCAAACTAAACCTACATGATCCTACAAAAGTAGAAACCTGGATGCTTTTTTACATTTCTTTTAGTTTAGAGTCTAGTTATTCCAGCTGGAACTATTAGCTGATTAATCTATTAGCTGCATGAGAGATCGGTGTCTTCATAAATTTCAATAAAAACGGTAGATTTCATGCAACACCTGATTCCAGCTTCTCAGTTGTAAAAGATTTGCAGGTTTTCTGATGTAATAACAATAGTCTACATGTGTTGGTCAAAGAATCCCCCTAAGCTTCAGGAACTTGTTCTCGACCGTTTTCCTTTTGTCCTGGCTTTTTATGGACCAACAGATGAATTAATACGAGATTATTTGATGCTAAAAATAGCACTAATTAAGATGAAAACACTGCCAAATGTTGAGAGAGACCCACTAATGGCCACTGATGAGATAATGAAAAAGCTGACGGATGACGTGATGATCATTAGCAACTGAAGTTTAAATGCAGCACAAAAGTCACATTTTGTAAAAACCCAACATGTATCTTAACAATGCATAAGTTTGGAAAGATATTTTTTCTACTTTGTAAGCAGTAGCGGCTGTGAGTCAATAACGCGCCCAGAATAATACATCCAGATTTAATTTAAGCCTGTATTTAATATGTGTTTATAGTTTCCGTAGACGGCGTTTTATGATGTTTCTGTTATTTCAAACTGATGTTGTTGCTCCTGGGAGTGCAAAACACATCACTTCCCCTGCAACAACCGGATTTCTCGTGTGAATGGCCTACCCAGCAGCAGGTGTTTGGTACAACCACGGTGAAAGCCATCACAAGTATAGGGTCATAGTCAAGAATAGCCAAACAAAATAGGAAACATGTTGATTATGACTTGAGGAAGTGTGTTATTTTCATGATGATGGGTCTGACTCTTGTTCCACCTGCATTCTATGGTGTACAGTAGGTATTATTTGACCTCATGACTCGCCTGAAGATGAAAATTTTGACTCCGGTACTGGAGGCATGGCAGTGTGACTAAGCTGCTGAAAACACATGTCCACAGCTGTCCAAACAGTAGCTGCCGCTGCCTTGGTTGGCCTTGTAGCACCATGCCCGCTGGCCTTCCATACAATAAAGCTCAGGCCAAGTCCTGACCAGAGGCCTGGCTCTCTCCTGGTATCCTTCGCCACAAATCATAAAGAATTACTGAGTCCTCTTTTCCTTTTTTTCTGTCCTTTCTTAGATCTGAGCTGGTCCTAGACAACTTGACCTGAAACTGTACAGCTTCAAATATGGTGTTCCAAGGCAACGCTGACCACAACGTCTATAGCGAGGATTTTGTAAATACTGAGGGCAAAATCTGTAGTTCTACCAAACATTCCTCAAATGTTTTAAATTCTGAGATTTTTATTTCATCTTTTATCTAATCCATTACCTTGATAGCTGTATTTAAACTGAACAGTCCAACAACGACACAGGTCTAACTAAAAATAACTATCTCAGAGCTTGGTCTCCATTTTCTCTATAATTAACACCAGACTAAAGTTCTTTATGGGAAACGTTCAAGGAAATTATTAGGAAATTACAGACCTGTAAAGTAAACTGAAATGCGTTAACGTGTAAGTAGACGGTGAGGAGGCGTATCCATAAAATTTGAAAAAAAGAATTTTGTGTCCTAAGTTGTAAGCCTTCAACTATTCACAATTTTATATAATAAAAAAGTGCAAATTACTCTCAGCTTCTCATTTTAAGTATTAGAATTAAAGGACTAGTTCAGATTTGTTTTGCCAGTTGTTAGGCTCTTGTTTGGCTAAGAAAGTTTTAGTCGGAAAACTTCAACTAAAAAATGAACTCTGGAAACCCAGATTCATCTTTGGATCTTCCATGAGCACAGCCTCCTAAAAAGGATCATCTGCGAGGGGTATTAAATACAAGAACAAACGTTTTTTTTCCCCCCCTATAAAACAAATGTCAATCTCATGAAAGTTCTTTGACTATTTATTGAAAAATAATCTCTCCCATTGAGGAAAGTCCTGCAATTACATCATGCATTTTATGTTTTAGGAATAATTCATGCTGTGTATTAACAAACTAAAACAATGTGCAAAGAAGGTCATGCGTGCTCCTGACGCTGATGGGTAATTACTTCCAAATGAGGTTGGGAAAAAGAAGTAAGGCCTTTGTGTCCTTCGGGGGTTCCCTCCTAATTTCAGTATCTTTGAAACACATGTTCATACAGATTCTAAATTGTAAAACATTGAAGCATTCAGGCCCATAATGAATAAATCCTTTGAATTCCTCTGTTTCTTGCTGAAATGATTAGCCAGTGTCCTACCAACAATATGTCAGTCTCTCAGACAGAGAATCTGTCCTGAGTGTGACAAATGACTGCACTCGGCTGCTTGTTGTCCCTCTGTTTTGCTTATCACTGTCTGCAGAACGCTGTACATCACCCTGCACCAGCATCAGGCCTCACTCTGTCTGTCTGTCTGTCTGTCTAAGTGTCATGGAAACAAACCGGGACTATAAGCTGGTGTGAGCTGAATAATAACAGATATTACAATATGGCATTTAAGAAAAATCAGCAAGCCAGTACAAAACATGTATTGATCTTAAAATTAAGTGAGGAATGTTTCAAAAGGTGTCTCACACATAGATATATAATATCTCAGAATACATACCAGCGAGCAAGTGTGTGTGAAGTGTGAAAGGAATACAAGAAAAAACAAGTGCCGACCTTCATGTGTCCCAGAATTTTCTTGAGGGCTCGAACATCCTCATCATTACCCGGAGTTATCCTGAAGACTTGATCGCTGCAAAAACAACAGAGCTTCTCTAAGTGTCGGGTTGCAACTGGAATCAAAGTGCCCCAGAGGGTTTTTTTTACGACGCTAATATTCACTGTAACAGGGCTTTGATCCATTTTCGCTAAGCGCACATCATTTCTAAAACATCTGGGCCGCGGACTCAGGTAATGAAACGGCCTTTTGTGCCAATTGAAGGTGACACGTACAATAGCAGATGTCAGATGGTGAAATGGGTGGTTCCTCTTTCGGAGTCCTATAGATGACAGGGTCAAACCCCAGTCAAACAATCTGTCTGAACGTCATTAAAGGATTACATTTCATCGTTTCCAGCTCTGCAAGTAGCACCTGGAACAAGTCTCTGATAGATACAGTAGCAGCAGCTGTTTCACATTTCTAAACAGTACATACTGTAAATATGTACTGATGGGATGTGTTTCCACTTACAGCAAACATTCTAAAGTGGATTATTTAACTTTTTCACAATTAGAAGGAATCAATAATAGTGAGGCGCCGATTTGTTTTGCCAAGTAAATCTAAAATGAAGCTTTTCCTCCCCCCCATTGTGTGAATTCATGGTGTTCGACAGATAGGACCAAAGTTTCTTTATTGTGAGGGGCCATAAAGCGAAAGGCACGACATCCACAATGTGTTTTGTTAGATTACACCCCATAAAATAATTCAGGGGCCCCATTCCCACCACTTAATTAAACGCTTGGCTGCAAGATAACTTAATTATTTAGATATACCTTTGAAGTGGCAAACATTATTTTAATGGGTTGGGTTAACATAATAATGTTGGTAATTGCACCAGCTTAATATTGTTTGTAATTTAGACTCAGATTTCTGCAATATTGATTTTAAATCAAGCTGTATTGACTCCAACTTAGATTAAACCTAAATGTTTCATCACATTGAAGTGAGGATTTAACTCCCCCTCTACTACATACTGAACACTCGAACAACTTTTGAATTTGCCATCTTGAAAACTTGTGTTCATAATTAAATACACAACACCTAAGAATTCCTTTTAAATAATGTGGAAATGCCACTTTGAACAACTCAATTTTTATTGGCAATCAACTTCAAATGCTATGCTAAAAGTGGTAATTAAAAATAGTTTGGATTGCAGAGGAAAAGCTACCTCCACTAACTCTGTGTGGTTTGTTGGATGAACATTATTTCATTAGAAGTTGTCAAAACTCAAACAGATGACGTTGCTTTTATTTTAAATTTTTTGGAGCCCAAACATTTTGTGCGGATAGATGAACTTTTATTTGCAGATAATGTACATACTAGAAGAGATTAAACACACATCTCTGTGGCTGGATTAAAAAGCTTTGATGCTTTTGCTGATTTTGAGGGAATTCATTCAATTTTGCTCTTAAAGAATAGTGAAGAAAGTCCTTTTATTCACCTAGAGAGGAAAAAAAAAGAAGAATTAATTCCATAGAGAATGAATCAGATATACTTCATGAAAAACACCATTACACTGCAATTATATTCTTCACATGCTGATCTCACCCCATAATCAGAACACAAAGTGTAAGCAGAGAAACTTGACAACATTTTTAACTCGACCTGCAAACCGCATCTTTTGTGTCGCCTCACTGCAAAACAATGACACTCTTTATCCTCATCATGAATCTTACATCGTGCTGCTTTTACTCTGCAGATCACAGTTACTGGGGCTGACCTTGAAGCTCCCGTGCTGCCAATAATTCATTACATTCTCTTAATGATAGGCTCTCTTTACCCAGTTACCTGTCTATCTGCCAGGTTCTGCATGTGTGCGCGTCTTCCTCTCTTATGTTTTTTTTTTTTCCCCCCCTTCTTTCAAATGGCTTTTTACAGTCTGTCACACAGGAAGTTGGGCCCCACTAAACAAAGGTGGCAGTAGGCCATTCTGAGGTTTGGGGAACAAAAGGGTCCGGGTGTCCCACATGAGTGGCCACCCCATTTTGGTGACCGCAGTGACACTGCCAAAAAAACAGCCCATTTCCACGGCAACAGCAATGATAGAAACTGGACTTCAACATGAAAATGGCAGCGAGTGTGTTCTGAAGATGAAATAATTGGAGGGATGGGAAAGGAATAAGTTAAAGTGATTAAAACAATCTGATTAAACATTGTGATTCAAGTCAGATTTCAGGATTGAGGCATCATATATTCCCTCTGAAACAGCAGAAACTATGCGTTCACCTTTTTTCAATCAAGATTCTCTGGTTTAATCGAGTAGGACGTGACTTTTTTTGTTTACACCAGCGCATACAATGCCGTGCCGCACACAGCCCTCGGCATCCCGGGGCTCTGCAGTCCAAATCGAACCACTTCTTCATCTTTTAGTGATTCACAACGATGACAGACTGTTTTTGTTACAGTGTTGGCCTGGAAACGGCATTTAGCTGTGCATCTACCAGCTACAGGGCTTTCTGAGCTAAAGCTGTCCTTAAGTTGTCAGTCTGTTGATTCTCACAGCAGTACTCTCTCTCTGGGATGGAAGCAATTTGGTTTTAAGACGATCTGGCCCCTAAACCAAGAAGCTGACTCTCAGTTATGTTTTGATACTTTAATATAGTACACTCAGCATTTTTTAGAATCCAAGTCTTGGGTCTTAGATAATATTGACGCGCTCTGTTAATATTCATTAGAGGATAAATGTCTTCTCTAAGACTACGAGATTGTTGTGAGGAACACACACACAGTGCTGAATATTGGTTTTCGTTTCAAACTAGAGGGGGTGTGAGGGTCGTAATTTCTGGAGTAAATCCAAAATATATGTTGTTTGAGACAGAAGAGGAGGGGGTTTCCAGCAGAGATGGTCTCCTTCTGCTAACCCTGCTGCTACATCAAAAGCCCTTTTGAAACAGACCATAAATATCTTTACATGCCTTCTACATGTTTACTCGAATTACTATATGCGTCCAGGAACAGATGGCCCCAGTGGAGACATCTATTTGTCCAATCGCTCACAAAATTTCACATCCAAGGTTAAATTCTGAGTGCGGCTCCTTTTAGTTTTGAGGTGGTGGGATGGTTTGTGCCACATTCAGCTTCATAAATAGCCAAGCTCCTGGCTAGTGTAACCTTTGACAAGTCACTTCTATGAAAACTTTCACAGAAACACACAGAAGAGAGAAGTTTATTCCATCCTGCAACAACTTCTAAAATCTTAAGACCAAGCATCTGTAAGCATCCCCTCTGTCTGTCTGTTTGTGCCTATCATGGGTAATCTGAATGCCTCTCTGCAGCAAAACACAACAGATACAGTCTTATCCAAATGCAATCAGACAACAAGAGCAGTCTGGAGAGAATACAAAGTAAAAACATCACATTATATCTCAAACAGGAGATCTGTCCCAAATCAGTGAAGAAGATCTTGAGCACAAAGACTTTCTTTGTTCATTCTCTCTAGTCATCATCAGATAAAATGTAAAGTCTGCAGACAACTTCATGGATGCGAGGCTTATCCTACAGTCTCTCTCTTTCTCGACATGAATGGGAGTCCCAGTGACCCCCCAAAGAAATGAATGGGGGGTCTTTTTTACTCACCCTGCGTATCGGTTGTTGTAGAGATAGGCACCGACGGGACGTAACACGCTGCTGCAGATTATCACACAAGTCAGTAAAACGGAGGCGCGAAATGCTCTCCTGTGGTCCATCGTTGGCCAGCAGATCAAAGACGGAGGACACTTTGAGGGATGCAAGGCAACTTAAAAAAAAGAAGAAAAAAAGCAAAACTGAAAGAAACTTAAAGGACTCTCGGTCCGGCGCACCATCAGCGGGTTGACAAAGTCATTTCGTCCCTTTGCTCTCTCGTAAAGTTCTTCCACTGACACAGAAGGTGCAAAACGTGCGAAAGTCGGTCAGCTGGCACAGGGCAAACATTTACTACCTCTTTGAGGCTCTGGAGTGTGTTGCAGGGGAGCAGCTCTTTTTTAAAACGAGGAGGACCTGAGTCACGTGGCCCCGGTGTAGGCGAAGTTGGTAATCAGATCCCTCTCCGGTGCGCAATGTGCGCGCAGGGGATGATCCATGGTGAAGTGAGTGCGCATTTTTGTGCCATTCGGCAAATTACGTGTCTCTTTACATTTTAGGTGAAGCTCTCCATGTAGACATGAGCTGTATCATGTGGCTCACCTCCACCTCTCCGGAACAACTGCTGTATTCTTCCTGTGCTCATCTCAGGTCCTTTGAGGAAGACGCTCAGGTATATCGTTGCTTTGATTAAATATCTTTGTTCACCTTTATACAAATCAGACTCTCACTAAGCATCAGCACACTGGTGTTGTTTTCTAGGAGTAGCAGTGATTATACAATCATTATTTGGTGGGACTTGATCAACAAAAAATAAACACAGTAGAAGAGGAAGGAAATAATGAATTAAAGAAAACAGCAACATTGTTCATTCACATGTTAAGAGCCCCACTGAATTCCTGAATCCCCCTGCTTCCTTTTTTTTTTTTTTGCTTATGTCTCTATATCCCATTGCTGGTGTCATAACCGGCTACCAGTTCTGTCAGTGCCTTGGCCTGGCTCCACCAGGAATTCCTCTGTGGAGCTGTAGATGGCTCTCCCTGTTATTCTAGGCTTTTCGTGCCTCCGTTTGATCCTCTACTTATCACCCAACACAGTGATTAAATGTCTAAGTCAACCGGCTTTTGTGATTGCATGGCAGCAGCACATTTTTCACATTTCTCTCCAGTGTCAACAGTGCACCACCTGTTTTACACCAATTACTGTACAACAGAGCCTAAACACACCATGCTCCTCTTCTCTCCAAACAGACACACACAGAGTACAGTAGTACACATCCGTAAGACATAGAAAAAAGTGGAATTACGTTCTTGTTAGGCTCAGTTAATAATATTTACGGATGCTCAAATTAAGCAAAGGAATAAATGTTACAAACGAAGAACCACATTGGCTTTGAGATCAAATGCTTGTTTTGATTTAAGTAATCAGATGTCAATCTATTGTGCATATAATTAGAATTTGCTTGGACGCTACCATATGTTCAATCACAGAAACTCATTATGAAGGTGTGGAGTTGAAGACAATCTAAATAAAGTGCTGTAGATATATCTTCTGTTTGACAGCAACAGGCTGTACCATCCTCCTGTGGAGTTTGAAAGCTAAAAAATACAAAAATCAATACTTTTTACTTGATGCTTCATTCAAATTTTTTGAGAGTCTCCCTAAGTTTTGTACTAAGCAGAAGTTTAAGAAGTCCAGGGAAGAAAATCATACATTCCCTCTGCTTTGCCCCAGCTGTAAAATAAGATGGATTTTCACATGTTATTTGTGTTGAGTCCCTTCTTTACTCTATGTTAGGAGCACTTTGTCAGCACATCAAGGTTAATTCAGAGAGTGAATACGTCCTTGGTTTGAGCGTTGTATAAAATTCCTCCTCTTCACTGGAAAATTTCATCAAACCTTAAATTGAATGTACCACGGTTAAAAAGAGGGGGGTGTTCTGACAGAGCTATTTTTCAGAAATAACATAAAACCATGAAAGTGAAGTGTGTCTGAGCGTCGCGACAGCTGCACACAGAAGCATATTCATAAAATGCTTGCTTTGCCTTCCGCGTATATCATGTTCAGGCACTTGCAGGGAGAGTGAAAACATTGGCATGTAAAGGTTGTTACATTGGCTGCTCACTTAAGCGTGACATGTTGGGTACGCAGGCCGAGGGCATCGCCAGGAGTCAGGTTGGGTGTTGTCTTTAATACTCAGGAGCTCAAGCTTGTGTTTGGGGCTCCACTTTGGGCTGTGGTCTGCGGGGGGAGGTGAAGGGCTGAGCATCTTTTTTAGAGCTAAAATCCAAAGCTGTACAATCTTAGAACGGCACCCAGAGGCCAGTAAATCAGCATTTTCCTTCTTGAATCTCTGCTGAGGAGTGTGAAAGAGCTCTTTGATAAGCTCCAGTTGTGGTGGTGATGAGTGGAGGAGGAGGAGGAGAGGAGGACGGGGGGGTTTCTGGTCAAACTATGGGGCCTCCGCAGGATCTGAAAGATGGAAAGCTGACCCCGAGCAGAGCTGTGAGTGCACATCCATGACCATTTGACCCTGAGCGGAAAAGTGAAAAGAGAGAGGTTGGCAGGGGTTAAAGATGGCGCAGAGTCTGGGAGGCAGCACAAAAGTGAACCATTTGGCAGCCAGAAAAATTCGTCACTCGCATAATGAATAAAGAGTTGCGAAGAAGATAATCTAAATGACTTACTTTTTAATTAATGATCTCAGTCTACACATCAACCACCAAGTGTTTGAGTAATCATCCGTCACTGTGAGACAAATACATAGATGAAACATGAGTTACACTAAGCTCCGCTCAGACATCTGCAGCCCACAAACTTCCATCTGTTTGATTACAAAGCACAAAGACTTGCTTACAGTAACAGAAATCAGTGCGCATTACAGGGGACTTTGGCAGAAGAGTGTGGTGGTTTAGATAATACGAGTGGAATCAATAAAGTGGAAGAGGATTTCTTGAGAGCGCTCCTTGTTGGGAGAGCCATTAAGTCTGCTTACAATACATAGTGTGAAAATAGGAAGACTTTCGAGAGAAATCGCCAGACTTTGCTAAAAGTGTGCGACCTTTGTCCCGTTGTCACTCACTGTTCATCTGTGGTTACAACCAAGTCAACCAAACACTGGCTTCTATCTGAATATGTCTGAGAAGCTTAAATTTTTTTCCCCAAAACACCTTAAAAACATTAAAATAATTTAATGCAGTAACTATTTTTTCCCTCCTTTCCTGCTCTATTTTACAGCTGTTGAGATTTAACAGGAAAGCATTAGAAGTTTTCTGAAAAGGTTATGTTTAGATTTATACACTGTGGTTCGGCTCTTTATAAATAATGTAGGGGAAAAGGAATGGATGAACTAATATAGCTTCTGGGGATACTCAGATTAAAGATTTAATTACTGGACCAACTGACAAGGCATTTAAAGAAACAGTCAGTGTGTAACTTGCATTTACTGCAAATTGGAGACACTCAGGAATTAAATTTGCTTAATATTAAAGGTATAATACAGAGCACAAAGCAGATTAATGCTGAATTAATTTTATGGATTTACACTGCTTCAGTCGGACGTTTATTCATCCATAGTTACTTGGTGCTTTCAGTGGACTCTCTTAGACATCACAGTGTTTTTTTAATATATGTATTTTTAGTCAAAAAAGGCAACAAGAGAAGGCATATTGCTTAAGTCAGGACATTTGGGAAATTAGAAAGCTGTGGATTTGCAGCATAAAGTAAGATGAAGGTACCATATGTCGTTTGAAACTTATCACAACTCATTTCTTGCAGGAAGTCTTAGATAATTCTACTCCTTTTATTATTCCATGAATTAAACATAATGTCCTCTATGCCTGGAAGAAGCTGATCATTTCTTATTATGGAGGATAATGAGGGACGCTTTGTTATTTTTGTCACAGCATTTTCGATTTATCACGCAGGGATCACATAGAAGTACTTATTACTGAATTTTTATTAATAACTGCAGGGACTTCAGTGATATCTCTAATGAACAAGGATCGTGTAAGCTGCCTTTAATTCACACCGATCTCTCAGGGAACAGAAACTTTGCGGAAGGAGAGAAAAAAACAGCTGAGCCAACGAGCTGTAAGTAAAATATACGCAGACAAGTAGGGCTGTGTTTGCGGCATTCCACGACTTTATTATACCACTTATCTCGACAACCTGTTGCGCGCTATTGCAACATGAACTGTGCAAATCACCTGCAGTGTTAGCGCGACCTAAAGTTGATCATAAATGTCTTTTTTTGTAATAGAAATGTACTTTCTCAAGGTAGTTTAGCTCCACTAAATGACATGGAGGGATTTTTCTTGGCAAATGTTTTGCTTTTCTTTCCTCCACTTGTTGTACAGTCATCAAATTCAGCCAGAAAAAGGTTTCATCAGATTGAAAAGTATTTTGATTTATGTATACCGATAGAATGGCCCGCATTAAAACTCAAATCACTTTATAGTAATAAGACTGATTTCCAAATACACTTTTGCGTTCTTATAGAATGTATTCAGTTAAATTTTTTTTCAAATATCTAAATAGAAATGACTAAATCTGAACAGTAACTTGTAGCATGTGAGACATGTGGCTGCTGGTTTTGGTTCAACTGATTAACTGAAAGGCACATAAGCGGAAATAAGGGCCAACAAAATCCATGTCACGTAAATTAACACTGTTATCGCCACTCATGTTTGATATTAAGTGCAAATACTGCGAACACAGCGGCTCATATCAGTCTGACACTCCCTTTTTTCCAATGGCAAGAACAGAACACTTCCAGGCAGCACTCAGCAAGGCACCGAACAAAACCACAAATAATAGAAGTTAATTCCACAGACCAAAGTCATGGCCAATAAAATCTGAGGGTCTGGAAATTTACCTGAACTGGAATGGCTAATATAAAACCATAATTAAGTTGGTCTACCGCAAATGTCACCAAGGGTTCTAGGCTTTTTTATTTTTATTTTAAACGAGAAACCAAATGTAGTACTTTTAGTGTCAGTCTGGGACCCAGGCCCACTCGGGATTTCAAGGACTTTGTTAAGAAAAAAAAAAGAAAGACCCACTTTGAGGCCTCATTCAGCTCCGCCTGATGGAAAACCTCTCCTGATTCACAGTGGGATCATTA